AACCCGCGTCTAAACCCCCCCCCCGCCACCGCCGCAAACTCTACAAACCGCTCCGGAGCCAGGCTGCGCTGCCGGGACGTCCCGCCCGTGGGCCGCAGCGGCGCAGAAGCGCGGGCTTCCACTCAGCTCCGCAGCTGAGGGAGGCGAGGCGAGGCGGCCCGCCCCGCCCCGCCGCCGCTGCCGCCGCCGCGGGCCTCCGCCGCCGCCGGCCAGACAAGCGCCCGCCTCGCGCGAGGAGATGCCGTGGGAGCCCCGCCTGGGGGCGGCTCCTTCCGGGCGGCTGAGCCCGAGCCGGAGCCGGGGGAAGCTTCACGTCTCGTGCTCCGCTTTGAGCAGCGGGCTGTGGTTAAACCCGCGGTTTTCAACCTGGGCGCCCGGCCCTGCGGTGCAGGACCCCGCACTTACACCCAAGGGGCCCGCCTGCCCCCCCGACATGTGCACAGGGGGCCGCAAAGCGAGGAAAGGGTTAAAAACTACTGGTTTAGAGAGGAAGAGGGGGCTTGCGCTTCAGGCCCTAGAGGGAGCCTGGGCACAACTCCCGAGTCCGCCCAGGGTTTCGTGGCTGGTGTTGGCAAGTCACCCCGTCGTGTCTGGACAAAGCACTTCGGTCTGTCTTCGCTTCCAAGATTTCCCCCGCCCCTCGGTGCCCGCGAACCAGGATACCAGCACGATCCTTGAGAGAGAAATGATAAGGCATTCGTTAAAATAAATATTAAATGTTGAATCTGATTTAGACAGTTGTCCAGTGGGTTTTTAAGATGTAAAAGTAATGTGCATTTGCCTTCCTGCAGTAAAGTCAGGAATGTCATTATATTATGTGATGAAACCTCCTGGAATAGATTCAAAGAGTTGGCAGCTGCAGACTACACAGCTAACTGCCCCCATCTACACTGAAGGCCACAAAATGCACACCTCCTTCAGTAATGGGCTAGGTAAAAGGGAGTTGAAAGATTGCTAAGAAAATAGCAAAGATTTGCATCTGCCGGCTACACTCACCCCATGGGATATATATTTTATTAATGAATAGCACTTGACAGCAATCCTGAGCCTAGCTGAGGCTCAAGTTTCTAAAATCAGTCAGGCAGAACACACAATATTTTGCTGAGTAACAGTAACAGGCAACGAGCCGAAAGGGTGGCAAAATAATCTAGCCGTGCTGCTGCAGTACGATAAGCAAGATTACAGGGAACATTTTCTTTTCTCTATTATGTAAATTAGAATCTCTACAAATAATATATCCTCATTAAACCGAATACAGCATTAGCATGTACAAAGAAAAGTGACAGAATCCAACTTGAAAACTACAAAAGCTATTTCATTGTGTGAAGTCCCTTTCATATTCCAAGAAGTTTAATTGCCAAGGCAACCTTGTTTTCAATATAAATGGAACACATAGGCATATATTCAGCTGACAATTAAGGAAAAAAAATAAGGAAAGGCACTGCTAAATAGTTAACATCCTACACTAATTTTAATATTGCAAGCAGGCATTAATTTTGTAAATTTGTAAGCATCACCTAAGTACATTGTTTTCTTTAACTTCCTATTGTCAACTCTGTTTTAGCTAATAAAGTTTACAAATTACCAGGCTGAACTTTAGCTAACCTAACTTTAGCATTAAAGAATCATTAAGAACTTAGGAGTTGGTTCAAGTAATTTAACCAAACAGATCAGTTTGTTTGGTGTCAGATAGGTATGGGTGGGAGGTGGGAACCCATACATAGCTTTCTATGGGGAGGGGGGCAGAAATTACATATGGATGAGGTTTTCAAGTATTTACTGATTCCCTTAGGAACAGCTGAAATCTATGCTAATTGTACATGAACAAGAACATAATTTAGAAGCCCCAGAGACAGTGCTTTGAAATATGATTGTACACCTGTAATATCTGAGGAATCTCCTACATCAGGGATGCCTCCTAAAGCACAAGTGTTCAAAGTACACATCTTGTCCAATTAAAGTAACAAAAGACTGATCAGATGCATCTCCAGATTTCGGTTTTGTAAAAAACAAACCTAACCTTTTTCAAGGTGTTTTTCAAGCAATTAACCCTCTCACCCCAAGAGGCATAATCAGTTATTCACTCCTGCTTTTGAAATGCCCAAGGAAAACATTCTAAAAAGGTTTCTGCAATGTTGTAACCTCAGCACTGCAGCATTGCAAGCTTGTGAGCGACTTGAGCACTGTGTGGAGCTTCAGAAAGCCTGGACTCCTTGGAGTTTTTGGGCCAGGGGAATGATAGTCAGCCTTACCCACAACGCCATGTGAATCAAGCCCAGGGGGCTCCCCATGGGTTCAGAAATGTAGTAAGTAGTGGAGTAGTGGCACCACTCCCCTGCTGCCAAATTTCTGGACCACAGGGAACCCCACAGGCTGCACATGGCCCTACACATTAGGTTGCACCAGTGTGTGGGGTCAGGCAGGGATGAGGTCATGGGCAACTGGTGCCACCTTAGTCGGGCCGGGGGGGGGGGGGAGGGGCGGGGCA